GAGAGAGGGACGCCTGGAAACTTCTGCCCTCTCAGCCTCTGCTGGTGAGCTGCCCCTTGGCCATGGACCCCGAGGGCTCACTCAGTGCCTCCGATGTGTGCCCCCCTTCCCCATCCTCAGGACCAGGGTGCCTTTCTGTGTGTTGTGGATGACTCCAATGAGCACATGCTGTCGGTGTGGGACTGCAGCCGGGGAGTGAAGCTGGCTGAGATCAAGGTGAAGGGTCTACCTGCCTGGGGAGGCCCTGAGGCTCCAGGCCATGGGCTGTTGGCAGGTGGGATGGGTGAGGTAGGGACCCAGGCATACACTTCCTTCCCCACTGGACTTGCCAAGGGCCAAGGAGGCCCTGTAAGCTTTGGCTTCTCCACCTGTGAAAGCGCCACACGTGATAAATGTGTTAGGTACTGGAGGGGAGGGAGTGGTGAGCGCACTCCTGCTAGCCAGGTATCAGGAGGCTTGTGGGGGAGGGGCGTCCAGGAAGACAGAGGTGCTCAGGGCTTGGAGCTGGCTACATCTTGTCTCCTCCCTTCAGAGCACAAATGACTCAGTCCTGGCCGTTGGCTTCAGCCCTCGTGACAGCAGCTGCATTATCACTAGTGGGAAATCTCATGTCCATTTCTGGAACTGGAGCATTGGAGTCGGGGTGCCTGCGGCGAACGGGACCCTCTCTCGGAAACAGGGTGTCTTTGGGGTGAGGCTGTGGCTGAGCGGAAGGTGGGGGGTGGATGGAGATGGAGGTGGTGTTGTGCGTTCTACAGCAGACCCTGTGGCTTGGTCCTTCCCATTGATCTTGGCTCCCTGTGTCTTCGCCCTGCCAGAAATACAAGAAGCCCAAGTTTATTCCATGCTTCGTGTTCCTCCCTGATGGAGACATTCTAACTGGAGACTCAGAAGGCAACATTCTTACCTGGGGGCGGAGCCTCTCAGATTCCAGGACCCCAGGCAGGGGAGGAGCCAAAGGTTGGGAAGGGCACCCAGGTCGGCCCAGTTCCTCAGGAGGTCTGGGGCCGGGAAGAAGGTGTCCCTCTTTTTTTCATCCTGAGAGTTGGGTGTTCCGTGGGGCCAGAGGGTAGGTGTAGAAGGGGGAGGGACACTAGACAATGGGGAAGAGGGCAGGGGGGGTTAGGGGTTGTCAGATGCCTGGCTCAGAGTCTGATTTTGTCGCTAGCCCAGTCTTTAGGGAGTTAGCTCAGGTGTGAGCCTTGGTCTTCCTGTCTGTGAACTGGGGAGAGTAGTGGCTGCATTGGCGGAATCAGAGGCTGGTGTTCAGTGTGAACTGAAGGGCTGGAATGGCCCAGGCCCTCTGTTCCCTACAAGTGTGACCCCCTCCACCGGGCTTTGCCAACAGAGACCTATGGTATCGTGGCCCAAGCCCATGCTCACGAAGGCTCCATCTTTGCCCTGTGTCTGCTGCGGGATGGGACAGTGCTGAGTGGTGGCGGACGGGACCGCCGGCTGGTACGGTGGGGGCCTGGGTTGGTGGCCCTCCAGGAGGCTGAGGTGAGATTGAGATCTGGGCTGCCGCGGGGTCTGGGGAGGGAGATAGAAAAGGAATGGTCCACGGGTTCTTGACATTCTGCTCTTGCTCTGCAGATTCCAGAACACTTTGGGGCTGTGCGGGCCATTGCTGAAGGGCTCGGTTCTGAGCTTCTGGTGGGCACCACCAAGAATGCATTGCTCAGGGGTGATCTGACCCAGGGCTTCTCCCCCGTGATACAGGTGTGTGTGGGGGTAGTTTTAGAGTTTGGTGAGGAGGAGGAGGTCCTGGGGAGGGTAGCATCAACAGCCCTGCTCCACCACAGGGCCACACAGATGAACTCTGGGGACTCTGCACACATCCCTCCCAGAACCGCTTCCTTACCTGCGGCCATGACCGGCAGCTCTGCCTGTGGGATGGGGAGGGCCACGCGCTGGCCTGGAGCATCGACCTCAAGGTAGAGCTTTTGATGCCAGGTCCCTTAAGCCATGTCCTTTGGGACTTGGGTAGCTGTCCTTTCTTCCCTAACATCCCCTTTCCTTCTGCTCCCCACCTGAGGCATAGCCAATCGCCCCTGGCATGATGGTATGGGGTACTGAAATATTAACCCTTCTTTTCCCCACTGGTAAAAGCTGCTGCCTCTAGTGCTGCCTGGGCACTGCCCCCTGCTTCGGACTCCTGAGGCCTCTTGGAACAGTAAGCTAAATGGTTCATCTCCAGCCCAGCTGGGAGCCTCAGTTCAATATTTTGAATGCCACACCCTGTTCTAGTCTAGTGTGTTCTGTAGTCTAGTGACACCACACCTGCATCCCAGGTCTCTGAGGCCTCTCTTCCCCTGGCCCCACCTTAGGAAGAGGAGGCTTTGGCCAGGCCGAGGTCCAGACAAGGGGTGTCTGTCCTGGTTCCCTGACTAGATGGGCCGCTCCCTGAACTTGCCTCCTCCCCCTCCTAGGAGACCGGTCTCTGTGCTGACTTCCACCCGAGTGGGGCGGTTGTGGCTGTGGGACTGAACACGGGGAGGTGAGCAGGGCCTGGGGAGTGGTGGGGGAAAGCGCGGAGCTCTGGGCAGAGCTTGCCTGCCTCTGTTTGGCCCTTCTCCTTGCAGCCTGGCACCTCCCTTCCTCCCTTGTTCTCTTCACCCCTTCCCCTAACCACTGGCTCCTCTGAGTTTGGGAGTGGAGGTGGGAAAAGCAGTGGGAATGGGAGGGGCCTAGGGGAGGCAAATGTGGGGAAGTGACAGCCTTCATGTCCACAAGGCCCCCCTGTTCTGGAATTTCTGACTTCTGTCTGCCCAGTCCTTTCCCACTTCCCAGTGTGAGTAGGCAGTGGTGACCCTCTAATATGCCACAGCCTTTCTGCCCAGGGCAGCTTCCCTGGCGGGCTGGTGGGAGGTCTCCTCACATCCTGGCGCTCTCCCCTCAACCCCCATTTCAGATGGTTGGTGTTGGACACAGAGACCAGAGAGATCGTCTCTGATGTCACTGATGGCAACGAACAGCTCTCGGTGGTTCGGTACAGCCCAGGTGGGAGCCCGCCCCGTCCTGGGCCCAGTCCCGTCCCCGGCCCTTCCTTCTCTGAGCCACTCTCTTTGCAGATGGGTTGTACCTGGCCGTGGGTTCCCATGACAACATGATCTACATCTATAGCGTTTCCAGTGACGGTGCCAAGTCTAGCCGCTTTGGCCGCTGTGTGGTGAGGAACCCTGGGGTGGGCGGAGTGGGTGGGGAGCAAGGGAGAGGCAGGGCAGCTCCCAGGAGGGAGGAGCCTGATGCAGGCAGGGGCATGGGAAATGGGCACCATGGTTATCAGCACCTGACCCTTGCTCCCAGGGTCACTCCAGCTTCATCACGCACCTTGACTGGTCCAAGGATGGCAACTTCATCATGTCCAACTCCGGAGACTACGAGATTCTTTACTGTGAGTGAGGGTGGAGGGCATGGAGAGAGAGGCAGGCATGGGGGAGGGTACCTGGGGAGATGGGGGCAGGGGCACTAGGAGCTCCAGGCAGCTGCGCTGCTGGATGGGAAGGTGGGGTCAGAATTACCCACACCAGATGACTGTTGTAACTTGGAAAAAGCACCACCACATGCAGTGGGTTTCCCACAAGTGCTGGAGGAAGTTGAGAAGATTATTTTGAAACAAATTCTCAGGGCATGGGGGGAGAAGGTAGCTTATCTAGGGAGGTAGAGCTGATCAGGGTTTAGGGGCACGTTAGGGAGAATTCAGGGGGCATTCATGGCCAGCCAGCCCAAGAGACTGGCCTTCTTGGACACCCTGCCAACTGAGGACAGGGTGGGCTGAGCTAGGTGGACGCTGGCTCCGCAGGGGATGTGGCTGGAGGCTGCAAGCTGCTGAGGAATCGCTATGAGAGCCGAGACCGGGAGTGGGCCACCTACACTTGTGTGCTGGGCTTCCACGTGTACGGTGAGCAGGGGTGCTGGGACGCAGGAGGGAGCTGGACGATGTGCAGCCCACTTTGGGTGACAGAGACCCAGTGTCCGGGGCTCCCATGGCCCTGAGGCCCAGGGGGTGGCCATCCCCGGGTGCCAGGGAGATGGGGCTTGTGCTGGGACGCGGGAGGCTTGGCTGAGGCCATCGCTGTGCTAGGTGTGTGGCCCGATGGCTCCGACGGCACCGACATCAACTCGCTGTGCCGGTCCCACGACGAGCGCATTGTAGCGGTGGCCGACGACTTCTGCAAAGTGCATCTCTTCCAGTACCCCTGCGCGCGTGCCAAGGTGAGGCCGTCTGGGGTGCCAGGGGGCTGCTGGGGAAGAGCCACTGCCACTGACCCTCCCCTCCCACCAGGCACCGAGCCGCGTGTACGGGGGACACGGCAGCCATGTGACCAGCGTCCGGTTCACGCACGACGACTCGTACCTCGTCTCGCTAGGCGGCAAGGATGCCAGCATCTTCCAGTGGCGAGTGCTGGGCCCTGGGAGCTCGGGGCAGGCGGCCGCCACACCCTCCCGGACACCGTCCTTGTCTCCTGCTTCTTCCCTGGACGTCTGATCCGCTGCCTGACCGACTGGACCGACTGGCTGGACCCCTTTTCTTAAGACATTCCCGAGGGCGACTCTCCCCGGGACAGGGGGACTGCGCACACTGTGGGACCCCCGCTGACCCGAGCCGGGCCCGCCCCAGCCTGGGCCCTGATTTCCTGCTGCCTGCTGAGGGGCAATAAACCAAAACTAAAGTCGCTTTCTGGTGCTTTTGTGCGGCGCAGCGGGGTTGCTCTCGGGACCCCGTGGGGCTGGGGACTGGGGTGGAGGTGGAGGAGAAGCCAAAGGTGGAAAGACAGCCTCAAGCATTCTTGCAAATGGTATGCAAAGGTACAGGCGGAGCCCCAGGGCGTCCAAGTCTTGCGGGACGTCAGGCAGAGCCTCGAACTCCGGCGAGGGAAGGGTTAAGCCCGCTTCCTCTCACACCTCCCTCCCCCGCGCTCCAGAGGGGGCGGGGCCGAGCAGCAACGTAAATAACCGAGGTTGGCCGAAAGCTGGCGAAGTTGTTCCGGAAGCAGCCGATCCCTGAGGTCCTGCTCTCCGACCTGAGCCGAGCGCTGGGCCTTGTTCTCCGATCAGCCGAAGGTGTTCCGGAAGAAGGCGAACCCCGAGGCGGGCCGGGCAAGCCTTTCCCCGGGCCGGCGGAGCTCAACGTCTGGAGGAACCGGCCGAGGCTGTGTTGGGAGAGAGCCGGCATCTGGCTCTGGTCCGGACAGGGGCCGAGTCCGATCCGGAAGGAGCCGAGCGACGTCCGGGGCTTGAGGCGGCGGCGACAGCGCGGGCCGGGATGAACCGCGACGGCTGAGGCGGCAGAGGTGCCGGCTGCGCGGGCCCGGGGGAGTCTTCCCGCAGAGCGCCAGCGCCGCTCCCGGGGCTTCGCCTCGAGCCCAGCCTCACCGTCGCGAGCCTTTGTGCGGCCGGAGGCGGCGGGAACGGCCATGGCGGCCAACATGTACCGGGTGGGGGGTGAGTACCGGGCGCGAGGCGGGGGCGGGGGACGCGGCGCGCGGGAGAAGCCCGGTGCCCGGCGGACGGGCGTGGACCGGAACCGGAACCGGGAGCCCCGGGAGCGGAGGGTGCGGAGGGGAGCCGGAGCGGGGGTGTCGGGAGCGGCTGCGGGCGGCCGGGACGGGGGTCCCCGGGGCGGGGAGTGGGCTGGGTCGCGGGCCCCGGAGGAGCTGACAGCGGCCGGGCCGCGGCTCTGCAGGCAACGACCTGCGGGGCGCACCGGCGGCTTCCTGCTCCCCCCAAGGCGTCATTGTGCGCCTCGCTGGGCCGAGGCTGGGGCGGCGGGGAGGCTGGCCGTGCCGGGGCGAACAATTGTTCAACTCGGTCGCCGAGTGAGTTGGACGAGGACATTGTGCTTTTGGAATTCAGTACGGGGGGCTGGAGGTGGGGAGCTTCCTCGTTTCCCCTTTGGGCTCTCCACGCCCACCTGGGAGGGCCCCCTCCTAGTCCCTTCGCCCTCTGCCTGGCGGGGCCCACTGACTTGATCCCGTCCCACTCACCCTGCTGCTCTGACGGGCTCGCCCTTCCCCACCTTTTTCTTCGCCTCCTACAGATTACGTCTATTTTGAGAACTCCTCCAGCAACCCCTACCTGGTACGACGGATCGAGGAGCTCAACAAGGTGAGTGGAATCCGACGCTCCCCCTGCCCCAGCGGCCTCCCTGAGGTCTTTGGACGCTGTTCCAAGTGCCCATTCGTGTTCATTCACTCATCCTGATACGTTCTGGAAAGCCTGTTGGGAGCTTCGTGGGAGCTTTCCTGCTCTGCCTCTTGGGCGCCGAGGGATCTGGAAGTGTGTGCCAGGAGGGGCGTCCTGACCTGTCCTCTGGGGGTCTCTCGGGAGGGTCTTCACTGCTGATCGGTTCTGTGTGCATTTCCACTTTGAAATAACCGGTTCTCACTGCCGTTTGTCCCTCCCCCAGACTGCGAATGGAAACGTGGAGGCAAAGGTTGTGTGTCTGTTCCGACGAAGGGACATTTCCAGCAGCCTCAACAGCCTGGCGGATAGCAACGCCCGTGAGTGTCTCCATGGCTCTCCCTCCCCCAGCGTGCTCCCGTGGGCTGAGATCTGGGCATGTCTCTGCAGGTGCTTCCCGTAGCAGGCCCAAGGCAGGACTGTGAGTTTTGGGGGTGGGAAGTACCTGGTCTGTGGAGGGAGGCCTGTTTTTACACGTTGGAAGCAGGGTGGAGAGACGGCGATAAGGAAAGCCAGAATACAGTGAGAGAGAGAGAAGAAATGATAGCGTTTGGGAAGCAGCTGAGGAAGAGTGGGGCACTTGGCCCAGAGTTTTGAGTCCACCAGGACTGTGAGTGGGGGGAGTCGAGGGGAGCAGGAGCCATTGGCGCACGCAGCCCGCTCAGAGCAGGCAGGCTTGTTTTACCATCAGCAGGCGGCGCAGGAACCGGACGTGGCAGGGAGCTTTCATCGTCCTGGTTTCTCATCTCCCCCATTTCCCCGTCCACTCCAGCTCACCTCCTCCCCCCCTTTGCCTCACCTTGCTTGCCTTTAAGCCATCAGTTTTGTTTTTGAAAAATGTATTGCTTTCATTTTTCCTTAGCTCCTTTTTCCTTTTCTGGTTTTTTTCCCCCCCTTTTCCTCTTGTTTCTCCTTCCTTGTTTCCTTTTTACAAAGCTGCACTGGCCGTGAAGGGGTTAATAAGGAGCTAGGCTTACCAAGTTCCCTGGCCCTTTGGGGTTTCCAGCCTCTTCTGGCAGGGGCTGACCTTGGCCTTGTCCAATCAGAAAGGGTGTGGGGGGTGTGGTCCCTGTGCCTTAGCACAGGGTTTCCGCACAGGCAAGGGGTGGAGCATACAGCACCCCTGCGGCCCCCCTCTCCCCGAGGTTGGGAACAATGCACCAATGAGCCTGGCTGCAGGCTCCTCTGCCCCCTCCCTCTGTGGTCGGCAGCTGGCCAGCTTAACCCTTTCACAGAAGTCTCCAGGCAAGCTGCAGCTCCTTGAGGAAGGTGTTGGCCCTGGTTGGAGAGGTGTTGTCCTTGAAAGCCCCACAAACTATTATTAGCCAAGTTGAAAGTGAGGGATCCTTAGGGTTGCATGCGGTGTTGGAGAGCAGTCTCCTCAAAACTGAAAACGGGAACTGGCAGGCACAACCTTGTGTGACGTGCTCCCAGGTCTTAGGCGAGTGTGGCAAGAAGAGGCCCTGTGAGACTGCTGGTGGGCCTGGTGTGGGCCGCGTCTGCGCCCTCTGAGTGGTGCCTGAGCCCTGACGGCTAGGTCTGGGGTGCCTCACAGGCCTTCCCTCACGTTAACACCAGTGGGTCTACGCTGCAGCGTGCAGGGCGAGTGCAAGGGTCTCCCCCGGGGAGGAGTCCCAGGGAGGTTAGCTCGTAGGTTTGTATGTGACCTGCCTCTTCCTCTTTAACCCTGCAGGGGAGTTTGAGGAGGAATCCAAGCAGCCTGGTGTGTCAGAGCAGCAGCGACATCAGCTGAAGCACCGGGAGCTTTTCCTGTCACGGCAGTTTGAATCTCTGCCAGCTACCCACATACGGTACAGGATGAGGGGGCCCAGTGAGGCCTGTGTGCGTCTGTTGGTTGGGAAGATGGAGAGGAGGATGGTGTGGGGAGCGCAGGCTCACCCTGGTTTTCTGCCCTGTCTTCCAGGGGGAAGTGCAGTGTAACCCTCTTGAACGAAACAGATATTTTGAGCCAGTACCTGGAAAAGGAGGTGAGAAAGAAGTGTTGGGAGAAGAGGGAGGGACGGGTATTGCGCCCCCGCCCCCGCCAAGTGAGAGGAGAATGAAGCCTTGCGGAGGTGAGGGTTGGTGAGGGTGGGCAGGCGCCCGGCGTGGGGCCGTGTCCGTGTCTGGATTGCTGCCCTGCTCACCGTTTCTCTCCACATCGCCAGGACTGCTTCTTTTACTCACTGGTGTTTGACCCCGTGCAGAAGACCCTCCTTGCTGATCAGGGGGAGATCAGGGTTGGTTGCAAATACCAGGCTGAGATCCCCGACCGGCTGGCTGATGGTAAGAAACCAGAGAGACTGAATGACCACCGGCTTACTTCATTTTAAGGGGCTCCTGGCTGCCAGTTTCTGGTGTGCCCAGGAGGGGCTGGCATAGTTTCACTGTGGATTAAGATGCCACTTGTGAAGCTGGCTCTATATCAAAATATAGGATTGAATCCTGATTGTTGTGCTTCTGGTCTACCTGCCTGCTGATGCACCTGGGAAGGCAGAGGAGGGTGACCTAACCATGTGGGCTGCTGCCACCCATTGTGGGAGACCAGGATGGAGTTCCTGGCTCCTGGCTTTAAGCTGGCTCATACCGCGCTATTCAGTTAAGTGAACCAGTGAGTGGAAGTGTTCTTTTTAAATGTATTTTTATTTTGTTGTTACTTTTTAATTGGAAAGTCAGGTATACAGAGAAGAGGACAGATAGAGAGGAAGATCTTCCGTTCATTGATTCATTCCCAAGTAGCTGCAGCGGCCAGATCTTAGCTGATTCGAAGCAAGGAGCCAGTAGTCTCTTCTGGGTCTCCCACATGGGTGCAGGGTCCCAAGGCTTTGGGCCGTCCTTGACAGCTTTCCCAGGCCACAGGCAGGGAGCTGGAGGGGAAGTGGGGCTGCAGGGATACGAACCGGCACCCATATGGGGTCCTGGTGCATTCAAGGCTAGGACTTTAGCCACTAGGCCCACTGCTCTGTCTTTTAACTCACTGAATAAGTAAATAAGTATAATGTTAAGACAGGAAGATGTGCCCGGAACGTGCATGCAGTCTGCAAGGCTCTTGGCTGCAATCCTAACAGCATGGGGCCTTAGGAGCCTAAAAAGAGCATAGGCACCGCTGGGACGAGAACTGGGAGAGCTGGTGGTTGATAGTCCAAGCACCAGAGGGAAGGAGATGCCACTGAATCTAAGACACCAGTTGCTTTCCCTTCTGTTGTCATGATCACAAAGCCATTGCCATTCTCCCAGGGGAGTCTGATAACCGGAACCAGCAGAAAATGGAGATGAAAGTCTGGGACCCAGACAACCCTCTGACAGACCGGCAGATCGATCAGTTCCTCGTGGTGGCACGGTGAGGGCTGGGAGCAGGGGCACAGGGCTGGGGAAGTGTGCGTGGGGCTTGCAGTCATACCCAGTTTCAGAGATAGACACTTTCTTTTCGGCAAGAACATTTCCCTTCTAATTCTGGCTTAATTCCCTGGCCCACTTGCCCTTTCTTTTTTGTTTGTGCTTGACTTCTCGTCCCTTCCCTCAGAGCTGTGGGGACCTTTGCAAGAGCCCTGGATTGCAGCAGCTCCATTCGGCAGCCCAGCTTGCACATGAGTGCTGCCGCCGCCTCGCGGGACATCACCCTGGTGAGCAGCAGTTGGCGGGTCCTCGGCAGGCGGGGTTCTGTGGGGCTGGGCAGAGCCTGGGGACAGGGGAGGAGGGTTCTTGAAAGGCATCCTTAAGGAGCAGCATGAAGTGGTGGGGCGGAGGCTGCGGGGAGAGATGGAAGCCTCAGCCTCACTCTGCTCCTTCCCTGTAGTTTCATGCCATGGACACGTTGCAAAGGAATGGCTATGACCTAGCTAAGGCCATGTCGACCCTGGTGCCCCAGGGGGGCCCGGTGCTGTGTCGGGATGAGATGGAGGAATGGTCTGCCTCTGAGGCCATGCTGTTTGAGGAGGCCCTGGAGAAGTACGGCAAGGATTTCAATGACATTCGCCAGGATTTTGTAAGTAGATAGGGATGGGCAGAGAGGTAGGGGTGAGGGTCCCAAGCCCGGGGCCACATGTGAGCTCATTTTTTTCTCCCCCCATTCTCCTTAGCTACCCTGGAAGTCACTCGCCAGCATCGTCCAGTTTTACTACATGTGGAAAACCACCGACCGGTATATTCAGCAGGTAGGGTCTGGGCTGGAAGCCCCTGCCTTGCCGGTGAAGCTGCTGGTTTCCTCCATGACAAGGTGCACTGATCCTGTTCTTTCCATCTCTTCCTATAGAAAAGGTTGAAAGCTGCTGAAGCCGACAGCAAGCTGAAGCAGGTCTACATCCCTACCTAGTAAGTGTGCTGAGAGGGACGCTGGCACGTTGCCTTCTCTCTCCAGCTGTGCTGCCCTTGGTAATTGAGGTGGATGGCAGAAGGCTGGGTCAAATTATGGAGCGTTGGCAGAAATGGATTCTTTTCTTTACCTATTTTCTCATTTGTTCTGTCTTCCTTTTTAGCACTAAGCCAAACCCTAACCAGATCATTTCTGTGAATTCAAAACCTGGTATGAACGGTGCTGGATTCCAAAAGGGCTTGACTTGCGAAAGCTGCCACAGTGAGTTCAAGGAAGGGGCAGGGATGCTGTGGGCAGGTGGAGGCCCACTGTGGTCAAGAACTTGAGGGACTCTGCACATTTCCTTCCTGACTTGTTGCTGTGTTCAGCCACACAGTCTGCCCAGTGGTACGCCTGGGGCCCACCCAATATGCAATGTCGTCTCTGCGCTTCCTGTTGGATCTATTGGAAGAAGTATGGGGGACTGAAGACCCCAACCCAGCTTGAAGGAGCTGCTCGGGGCACCACAGTAAGGATCGAAGGGGTACAGGCAAAGGCCAGAGTGTGCACCTTTCATATGGTGATGGCTTGATTGGCAGGGCTGGGGAGTAGGTTGAGTGTCAACATCTCACCGAGCTTGGGAAATAATGTCTGCTGGGAATGGAGGGCGGAAGCGTCCTGGGGCTTCATGTGTACTCCCTTTTTCTTTCGCTCTTCTCTAGGAGCCGCACTCGCGGGGTCATTTGTCTAGACCTGAAGCCCAGAGCCTCTCCCCATACACCACCAGCGCCAACCGGGCCAAGCTACTGGCGAAAAACAGGCAGACCTTCCTATTGCAGACCACAAAACTGACCCGTCTTGCCAGACGGATGTGCAGGGACCTGTTACAGCCGAGGAGGGCTGCCCGGCGACCCTACGCCCCTATCAATGCCAACGCCATCAAAGCAGAGTGTAAGGGAAGGAGGGGGTCTCCCTGGACGTCAGTGGCAGTGGGCATGGTAGCTATGGACGTGTGCTTGGCTTAGACATGTCTCCTGGCCCCAGAAGCAGCCCCTTCAGAAGCTGCCGTCTTTGTTCTCCAGGCTCCATTCGGCTTCCTAAGGCCGCCAAGACCCCGCTGAAGATCCATCCTCTGGTGCGACTTCCCCTGGCAACCATCGTCAAAGATCTGGGTATGGGACGGGCATCCAGACCACAGATCTCGGGTGGTTATAGGACAGGGGGACCAGCTGGGCTGGTGTTGGGCTCTTTCAAGAATCTTCTCTTCCTCTGCCTTTTTTTTCCCTTGTTAAGTCCCAGGAGATTTGATGTGTCTGCTTTTGAGGGTTGCTCTTTTGTATAACCTGTTTGATAAGATTATACTCATGCTGGTGATAACCTGTTCGACCCCCAACCTCTATGCTTTGGAGGTGTCCAGGAAGCTGCTGTCCCAGAGAAAAGCGATGAAGGGGAGGAAGAGGAGAGAAGGTGCACAAGTCCTTATGTTTTCCCCTTTCTGTCTTCCTGTCAGTGGCCCAGGCACCTCTGAAACCAAAAACACCTCGGGGAACCAAGACACCAATCAACAGAAACCAGTTGACCCAGAACCGGGGACTCGGGGGAATCATGGTGAAACGGGCTTATGAGGCTGTGAGTTGACGGAGTGGGTGGGCCAAGCTGAGCTGGTGGGCTTTTCTGTCTTAAGAGAGTCCCCTCACTGCCAGCACCCCCTTTTTCAGATGGCAGGGGTACCCTTCTCTGCCAATGGAAGACCCCTAGCTTCAGGGATTCGCTCAAGCTCACAGCCAGCGGCCAAGCGTCAGAAACTAAACCCAGCGGATGCCCCCAATCCCGTGGTGTTTGTTGCCACAAAAGATACCAGGTAGGTGGGAGGATCTGAGAGTCCAGCACGGTGGGCCTGGAGACTAGGAGCAGCTGAGCTACACCAGCTGCAAGAAGCTTCTGGGCGTGGGGGGGCGGTGCAGGGAGACAGGGCGTCCCTGGAAGGGAGTGAGAGGCTGGAAGGCAGAACTGCGGTGTGGGATGTGAGTCCTAACTGTTCTCTTCACCCTTTCCTTCCCTGCTCGCTGTGGCCAGAGCTCTGCGGAAGGCTCTGACTCACCTGGAAATGCGGAGAGCTGCCCGCAGGCCCAACCTGCCCCTGAAGGTGAAGCCCACATTGATTGCAGTACGGCCTCCTGTGACTCTCCCTGCCCCACCACATCCTGCCAGCACCAATGAGCCCATTGTGCTGGAGGACTGAGCGTCTGTGGGGAAGGGAGGTGGGCCCAGGGAATGAGCCCCGGGCACCTAAGCCTCCCCTCCTTCAGGACCCCCTGGAGCGGGCGGGAAGGGGCGAGGCAGTGTGCGTCCTGGGGGCCTGAGCGCCCTCTGGTGTTAGCACCTTGCCACTGGCCCCCTTCCTGGCTTCACTCCAATGATGCAGAGCCTACTGCAGGAACTTTGCGTGTGTGGGATCCTAGCCTGTTTTGGGGGATAGGACTCCCAGTTGTCTTGGACAGTTTTTTGGGGGGAGGGTTTTTTAATTTTTTAAAAATTTTGCCTCCCTTTATGAAAGGGACTGGGGAAGGGGAAGAGTAAATATATCAGGTGGTGATACCTGATTGTGGGAGGGGGGCGTGCACTGCCATGTCTGTCCTTTTTTTTTTTTTCTTCTTTTCTTTCTAATTGGGGGTTCCTCTTCCTGTCCGGTGTCCGGACTTTCCTAATGGACTTTGAGGCCCCTAAGCTGATATCAACTTCAGCCCACGCTTGCTCGTTCCTTCCCTTCCCCCTTTGCCTTTTGTATGCCAATTCTCAGAAATAAAGATCTTTTGTCCATTTTTAAACCTTGGATTCTGTAATTGGTTCTTATAATAATGAATAAAAAGCTGTTTTCTTCAGCTGTTTGTGGCTCAGCTGTTCTCTGCCATGGTGGGTGGGTGTGTTGGGGGTGTTTCTGAGAGGGAAAATAAAGGATAAAGAAGAGCAAAGGGACCCAGTGCAATAGCCTAGCAGCTAAGGTCCTCACCTTGCATGTGCTGGGATCCCATATGGGTGCCAGTTTGTGTCCCAATGGCCCCACTACCCATCCAGCTCCCTGCTTGTGACCTGGGAAAGCAGTCGAGGACAGCCAAATCCTTGGGACCCTGCATCCACGTGGGAGATGCAGAAGAGGATCCTGGCTATTGGCTTTGGATCAGCTCAGCTCCAGCTATTGGGCCACTTGAGTGAATCAACGGACAGACCTTTGTCTCTCTGTATCTGACTTTCCAGTAAAAGTAAAACACAGCAACAACAAAAAGGTGCTTCTTGCCTTGGCAACAGCTTAGCTATGCTGCCTGGACTGTGTTGAATTCTTGTGGGGACTAAACTGCAATTTGGCTGATTTCCTCAAAACCATTGGGAAGGGTCCAAAGTGATAGCCTGGAGTCCTGGCTGCTTCACTTCCCATTGAGCATCCTGCTTGTGGGCTGGGAAGGCAGTAGAGCTAGCCCAGGTCCTTGGGACCCTGCTGCTACATGGGAGACCAGGAAGAAGCTCCTGGTTTTGGATCAGCTCAGCTCTAGTCGTTGTGGCCACTTGGGGAGTGAACGAATGGATGGAGGATCTTTCTGTTGGCTTCTCTGTAAATCTGCCTCTCCAAGAAAGATAAATCTCTTTTTAAAGATTTATTTATTTTTATTGCAAAGTCAGATATACAGTGAAGAGGAGAGTTAGAGAGGAAGGTCTTCCATCCATTGATCCACTTCCCAAGTGACCACAACGGCCAGAGCTTGCCGATCCGAAGCCAGGAACCAGGAGCCTCCTCTGGGTTTTCCATGAGGGTACAGGGTTCCAAGACTTTGGGCTGTCCATGATTATTTTCCCAGAAGACAAGGGAGCTGGGTGGAAAGCAGGGCTGCCAGGATTAGAACCGGGCCCGATTTATTTATTTTTATTGGAAAGTTAGATCAGAGACAAAAAGATTCCTCATCTGCTGGCTCAGTCCCCCAAAGGCCACAGAGCGAAGAGTTTGTGTGTCTCCCACGGTGGTGCAGGGTCCTGAGGCCTTGGGACGTCCTCCACTTCTTTCTCAGGCCACAAACGGGGAGCTGGATGGGCAAGTGGAGCAGCCGGGATATAAGGGAATCCTGGCCCCGAGCCATCGCCTTGGTTCCCCGGTCACTACTTTTGCAGGAGACAAAGTTGCAGGCTGTTCAGCGCAGCACGAGCCGCTCGGCCCCTGGGACAGTCCTTAGGCCCTTTCATCTCCATTCCTCCTTGTCCATCTTGGGCTTCCACGTTCGGGCGCTGAGAGGCGCGCCCCCTGCGCTGCTCGGGCAGCCCTCGGAGCTGCGGCCACCGTCCGCAGTCCCGGTACGCTCCACACTGCCGAAGGACTGGCTCGCAGGGGGCCTCGGGGAGAGAACAGCTGCGCGGGGCCAGAAAGCCTCCGTGGGAAGCTCGGTGGGGCGGGAGAGCGTCACGGCCCTGAGGGAAGGAGCCAAGGCTCAGCCCCGGGATCCGTGGCCGGTGGAACCTCGGGCAGAAAGCACTCACGCAGCCGGACCGCGACCACCGGCCCGCACTCGGGACGCGCCAGCCTTTGTGGCTGCCGTCGTAAGCGTTCATGAATCTTTGAGCCAATCAACGCTGGGACAGTTCAGAGCACACCAATAAGCGACGTCCAGGGGGCGGGCTTTCCGTATATGGGTGGGGGCTAGAAACGGAACCCGGAGCGAAGGGAGCTTGGTTTCCGGGGATGGGCGCGTTGCGAGTGTCCGTCACTTCCGGCCCTGTCGACGGAAGGCTTGGCGGCGGCGGGAGCGGCCGTGCTGTGAGCCGGTGCCGGAGGGCGCGATGGCGGCGCCGGATTCGGATGTCGAGTCGCTGCCTCGTGGGGCTTTCCGCTGCTGCCTCTGCCGCATTACGACAGCCAACCGTAAGCGGTGGCTAGTGAGAGGGTGGTGGCGGTGGAGCCTGGCCGGCTTAGGGCTTGTGTAGACCGTAGTTGCTGTCAGGTCAGCGATGGGCTCACACCTCCCGCTGCCGCCCCGCACGTCCGAGCGAGCTGCGGGGACAGTTCCAGCTCTCTCCTCCCTTCTTTCCCAGGATGGGAAGTCACAATGAAAGTCTGGTTATCTTGTTCCCCCTTACCCGTCCCTCCGCCCTGGCCCTGGGGAGGGGGCTGGCCACCCACAGTCGCACGGTTCGGTGCCCTGCAGATCTGCCGCGAGAACTGCGGGGTCAGAAGGCCCTGATTAAGGTCGGGAAGCCCCAGGGTTGGGGGACGTGGATGCCTGGACGATAAGCTGCTAGCCGGTGGGGGAGAGGCGGAAGGTGGGTTCGGGAAAGTGTGCATCATCATCGTGTAACAGTGCTTGGTGCTCAGGGAAACCTCCAGCGTGCACCTGCTCCGCCGGACAAGGTCTTCCTTCGCTTTGTGCACGGCACTACCACTCTGTCTGGCAAAGCAAAGTGGAAATCCAGGTCTTCCTTGGCCCCACATAGCGCAGCAGCTGATTCGTCAAATAGGAACTCCTTTTCCCACATTTACTAGGTACCCCACTGGGCCAAGCACTACACAGGAATAATTCCCACGTGGTTGGGGCCGTAAAGCTCTGCGTTTTGTATCTTAGGAAAGTGATGTGCAAGAGATTAAGTGACTTGACCAAGGGCTCGTGCAGCCTGACATTTGGATTTGAACCTGAACGATGTGGTTTCAGATCCTGCACTTGAAATGATCCTCACATTTCCTGAGATGATCCGACAGGATCATTCAGTTGTTGGTTCTTCTATGACTTGTATGAGTTACTTTTTTTTTTTTTTTGACTATTTGCGTATGTTGTTTTACCTAGGGCATGCATATGGTTCTTCGTTGTTGTTTTTTTTTTTTTTAAGATTTATTTGTTTTTATTGGAAAGTCAGATATACAGAGAGGAGGAGAGAGGAAGGTCTTCCATCTGATGATTCATTCCCCAAGTGACCACAGTGGCTGGTGCTGGGCTGATCTGAAGCCAGGAGCCAGGAATCTCCTCCAGGTCTCCCACAGGGGTGCAGGGCCCCAAGGTGTTGGGCCGTCGTCCTCAGCTGCTTTCCCAGGCCACAAGCAGGGAGCTGGATGGGAAGCAGGGCCACTGGGATTAGAACTGGAGCCCATATGGGATCCCAGCACATTCAACGCTAGGACTTTTAGCTGTTAGACCACCGTGCCGGGCCCATGCATATGGTTGGTTCTTAAGAACTATTTATAGTATAACCGATTGCCTTGGAAACCAGTTAGAGCCTGCATTACGTAGGCAAGTGGACAAGAGAGAAATGAGAGAGGAGCCAGGGTTTTCTTCCAGGGTCACACATTTTTGTGGCTTGGAAAGATTCATGGAATTCACACAGGCAGAGAGCAAAGCTGGGAGGGCGGGCCCCTGGAAGGGGGAATTGGCATGTGTGTGTCCCCTGCCTCCACAGGACCCAGCCTGGATGCCCATCTGGGAGGCCGGAAGCACAGGCACCTGGTGGAGCTGAGAGCTGCGAGAAGGGCCCAGGGCCTCCGCAGTGTGTTTGTCAGCGGCTTCCCCAGGGATGTCGATTCTGCTCAGCTCTCCGAGTACTTCCAGGCGTTTGGACCCGTGGCCAGTATCGTCATGGACAAGGACAAGGTAGAGGATGAAACTGGGCCTGCCACGGACTGACCACGACCAGCAGCCTGCTGGGGCTGGTTCCTGGCGTGGCCTTGTCTGGGTGGACATACCGCGCGACCTCACATGCCCTGCCCCTGCCCCCTGGGTTGTATTTCATCAGGGTTAGTTGCTGGGCCACTTGTCTGTCATCTGTTCTTTCAGTAATGGTTTTTGTTCATCAGTTAGTTATTCACTGGCAGCTTTGTGCCGGGCACTGTGCTGTGGCTACATTCTGCATGGTGGATGTGGTAGATGTGGTCTGTGCTCACGTGGAGCTTACAGTCTGGAGGTGAGCAACATACCACGGGGAGCAAGTGTGCAAGAAACCAGTTGTAAGCCAGTTGGCAACTTACTGAACGCTAGCAGATACTAAAGTCATGTGATCAGACACCATGTGTCAGACAGGTTCGTTCATTCTCTGTGGTTCCTCGGAAAGGCAAAGTGACGAGAGAGATGTTCCAGCTGCTTGTTTACTCTCCGCATGTTTACACCAGGTAGAGCTGGACTTGGCTGAAGTCAGGAGCCAGGAACTCCATCTGGGTCTCCCACTGCAGTGGCAGGGGTCCAGCCAGCTAAGCCGCCACCTGCTACCTTCCAGGAAATGTTAGCAGGAGGCTGGGTCCGAAGTGAAGCAGCTGGAGCTTGAAGCAGGCACTCTACAGGCAGTGGGAGTGCCAAGCACTGGGCTGACCCGATATGCCAAGCAGACCCTCTTATCACTGTTTTAGTCCTCTGGGAAGAACCTCACCTTCTGCTGTCATGTTGTGCGGTCACATTGTGCTCCTGAGGCTGCACCGTGGTCATGTAGGTGTGCTTGGGGTGATTGCGAGCATCCTCAGCGACCCAGGTCCTAGGATGGGGTGCGTGGGCCTGTTTTTGTTGGAGTTTGCATTCAGTAACTCAATTACAAATGGCTTCACTTAGAAGACTTCCTGTCCCAGAGATCCCAGGTCTGGAGTCCCGGGTGTCCCAGTGTCCCTGCTGCCTTGTCAGTGTTGTCATGTGGCTGCTGCTTGCCTGACTCGAGGCAGGTGGGAGAGGTGGGGATCCAAAGGCCAGCGCCTGCTGATTCTGACTGCCTCCCTGACTCACTTTTTGAGGCCTTTTCAGTAGTCTTCCACTTCTGTCCCATTGGCCAGAATTCTGTCACATGCATTCCCCTACTTCTAGACAAGCTCGGGAAACTTGGCAGTTTTAGGTGGATATTCTGCCTCTCTGAGCAAAATCAAGATATTGTTAGTAAGGGGGAAAGGAAAATGTGTATCTGTTGGGTACTTGGCTGAGTCTGTTCTTGGTTACTTCAGGAAGCTCAAGGACCCTGTTTTTGTTGATGTCTTCTTTCAGTAGCAATGGGTCATGTTTTCCTGAAGCTAACTTCGGCTTCTAAAGGTTGCTGTTCTTATAATAATCAAATCTTTGTGTAATCACAATGCACCAGTTATTAAGAGTACCAGGGATTGAGTCCATCTCCATGTTCTGGTCCAGCGTCCTGCTGATGCACCTGGGACACAGCAGATGAAGTCCCGGGCACAGGGACCCATCACCCACCCTGGAGGCCGCGATACCTGTTGGGCCCTGAGTACAGGGACCCTTCACCCACCTCAGAGGCCGTGATGGTGTGTCGGACCCTGGGTACAGGGACCCATCACCCACCTCGGAGGCCGTGATGGTGTTGGGCCCTTGGCGTTGGCCTGGCCCGGGTCTGGCTGTTGTGTCATTTGGAGAGTCAATCAGTGGAGAGACTGTCTGACTTTCCAAAAATCATAAAAATAATGAACTTTTTGAAAAATTTTTATTTCAAAGGCAGAATTACAGAGAGAAGTGAGACAGAGAGAGTTCCTCCATCTGCTGGGTCATTTCCCACAATGGCCACAGTGGCGGAGCTGAGCTGATCTGAAGCCAGGAGCCAGGAGCTTCCCCTGGTCTGTCATATGGGCGTAGGGACCCAAGGATTTGAGTCATCCTGCAGTGCTTGCCACCTCTTGCTCCTGCCCCCGACCCCCCAGGCCACAAGCAGGTTGCTGTATCAAAAGTGGAGCAGCTGGGACAAATCAGTGCCCATATGGGATGTCAGCACTTCAGATGGAAGCCTGGCATATTATGCCATAGTGCCAGGCTCCAGAATAAATTAAAAAACAACAGCAACAACAACGAACAGGAAAAGTTAAGGAGGGGTAATACAGACTGTGAAATAACATTGGGGGCTGGAGCAATGGCTCCAGTGGCTAATCCTCAGCCTGCAAGTGCCAGGATTCTATATGGATGCCAGTTCATGTTCCAGCTGCTCCACTTCCCCTCCAGCTCCTTCTTACGGCTGGGAAGGCAACAGAGGATGGCCCAAAGCCTTGGGTCCTGCGCCCACATGGGAGACCTGGAAGAAGCTCCTGGCACCTGGCTTTGGGTTGGCTCAGCTCTGTGTGTTGTGGCTATTTGTGGGGTGAACCAATGCATGGAAGATGGATCTCTCTTCTCTCTATAAATCTGTCTTTCCAATAAAAATAAATCTTTAGGGAAGACAAAAAGAAAGCACCTGATTGAAAGAGTAGGGAACAAGGAAATAGGCAGAGTGGGATTTTCAGAGCAGATTACAGTAATCCTAAGTGAAACGTGTGGGCAAGAGTGAGGAAGAGACCTGCTCTCCTAAGCCTGTTCCTTACTAAAGTGTCAAGGCGGCATTCCCCCATGATGGGCAGTTACCATCTCCACGTCCTTGTCCACTGCCGCCCACAGCACACACTGGCGTTCCTGGTCCCCACACTGTGATTGTTTCTCTGCCAGGGGGTGTTTGCCATCGTGGAGATGGGCGATGTGAGTGCTCGGGAGGCTGTGCTGGCACAGTCCCAGCACAGCCTGGGAGGACGCCGCCTGCGGGTCCGGCCACGGGAGCAGAAGGAGTTCCAGAGCCCAGCCTCCAAGTCCCCCAAGGGGGCCGCCCCTGACAGTCAGCACCTGGCCACGGCTCTAGCGGAAGCCTCGGACGTCGGGGCGCAGATGGTGAAGCTCGTGGGGCTGAGGGAGCTGTCTGAGGCCGAGCGGCAGCTCCGCAGTCTCGTGGTGGCCCTGATGCAGGAGGTGTTCACGGAGTTCTTCCCGGGTGAGTTGGCGGTGACGGTGCCCACACCTTCGCTCTCCTTCCGTCCTCCATGGCACGGCAGCAGGTGCTGAGCTGGCTGCTCCTCCCTCCTGGTTCTTGACCATTATTCTCTGCTCGGCACCAGGCTGTGTGGTCCATCCTTTTGGCTCTTCCATAAACAGCTTTGATGTCCATGGCTGTGATCTTGACCTCTTCCTGGATCTGGGTGACGTGGAAGAGCCTCAGGTGAGTGACGGAGGGTCCAGGTGGGGGACAGTTGGGAAGAGTCAGTGAGAATGGTCATGAGGTAGAGGGCAAACACTTTACCTTTTCTATTTGTTAATTCTTCATCTGTAAAATTGGGAAAATAGAACCTGCCTGAAAAGGTTGTTGTGTTGGGAGACGTGAACGTGCATGGGCCTTGGGTTATTATTTCCTTTTTGTCCTTTCTTCTCTCTTTCTAAAGATTTTATTATTTTTTTTTTATTGGAAAGTCACATTTTTACAGAGAAGAACAGACAGAAAGATTGTCCGTCTGCTGGTTCACTCCCCAAGTGGTTGTAATGGCTGGAGCTGAGCCGTTCTGAAGCCAGAAGCCAGGAGCCTGGAGCTTCTTTTGGGTCTCCCACGTGGGTGCAGGATCCCAAGGCTTTGGGCCGTCCTCGACTGCTTTCCCAGGCCACAAGCAGGGAGCTGGATGGGAAGTGGAGCTGCAGGGTGCCCATATGGGATCCAGGCACGTTCAAGGCGAGGACTTTAGCCACTAGGCTGCTGCACTCGGCCCCCCTTTTAAAGATTTATTATTTTTTATTTAGAAGTTAGATTTATGAAAAGGAGAGATCAGAGAAATTTCTTCTATGCATTGGTTGATGCCCCAAATGACTGCAGTAGTTGGAGCTGAGCTGATTGGAAGCCAGGAGCTTCTTCCAGGTCTACCACGCAGGTGCAGGGCTCAAGGACTCAGTTTTCCTTTGCTTTCCCAGGCCACAAGCAGGAATCTGGACGGGAAGTAGAGCTGTTTCACTTCTAAAAATAAAAGTGGGGCAGCTGTGATACGAAATGCACCCATGTGGGATGCTGATGGTTGTAATCAGAGGATTAGTTTGCTGTGTCACCATGCGGGCCCCATTTTTTCTTTTTTTATAAGCATATGCATTTTAAAATACTTATTATTGGACCTGACGTGGTAACCTAGTGGTTTAAGTCCTCGTCTTGCATGTGCTGGGATCCCATATGGGCACTGGTTTGTATCCTGGCAGCCCTGCCTCCCATCCAGCTTCCTGCTCATGGCCTGCAAAAGCAGTCGAGAACAGCCCAGCGCCTTGGGACTCTGCACCTGTGTGGGAGGAGACCCAGAAGAAGCTCCTGGCTCCTGGCTTTGGGTCAGTTCAGCTCCAGCTACTGCAGTCACTTGGGAGAGTGAACCAGGGGATGGAAGATCTTTCTGTCTGTCCTCTTTAAAAATCTGAGTTTCCAATAAAAATAAATAAAAATTAAAAAAAATTATTTATTTTTATTAGGAAGACAGGAGGTGAAGCTCTTGTATCTACTGGTTTGTGCCCCCAAATGGCCACAATTGGCCAGAGCTGAGCTGATCTGAAGCCAGGAGCCAGGAGCTTCCAGGAGATTTTCTGTGAGGATTAAATGAATTAATAGGGGCAGATGTTGTAGTATAGTGGGCTCAACTACCATCTGTGATGCCAATATCCCATATGAACGACAGTTTAAGCTCCAGCTGCTCCAATGTGAATCCAGCTCCTGGCTAAGGCACCTGGGCGGCAGCAGGTGGCCTGGGTGCTTGGGTCCCTGCCATCCACAGCGAAGACCTGGGTGGAGTTTTAGCTACCTGGTTTTGGCCTGGCCCAACCCTTGCTGTTGTAGCCATTTTGGGAATGAACTAGCAGATGAAAAATCTTTCCTTCTAATTCTGCCTTTCAATTAAAAAAAACACAAAAAACAAAAAAACAACATATATATTGGGTGCTCATATACTATCGAGCACCCAATAAACAGTAAGGGTCCTGGGGATGGGCTGTGGGAGGGCAGCAGGCATGGCGTTCACTGGGCTCACTCTTCACAGCCTGTCCCCAAGGCTCCGCAGTCTCCATCCCTGGACTCGGCCCTGGCCTCCCCATTGGATCTTCAAGCCCTGGCTTGCACTCCAGCCTCGCCTCCAGACTCCCCGCCTCCTGATTCTCCCCAAGGTTCTGAAGCTCTGGACTTGGAAACGCCTTCCTCGTCCCTGGCACCCCAGACTCCGGACTCTGCTCTGGCCTCGGAGACCCTCGCCTCTCCCCAGTCCCTGTCGCCGAGCTCACCGCTGCAGGAGGACAGGGGCGAGGGCGACCTGGGGAAGGCCCTGGACCTCGCAGAACCCCGGAAGGGAGAGACGACCGAAGGGGCTGCACTGCTGGAGCTGGTGGGATCCATTCTCCGGGGCTGTGTCCCTGGGGTGTACCGAGTCCAGACTGTGCCCTCGGCCCGGCGCCCTGTGGTCAAATTCTGCCATCGGCCCTCAGGACTCCAGGGTGACGTCTCCCTCAGTAACCGGTACCTTTGGGGGCTGTGGGTGGGGTATGTGAGGCGGGCAAGCGCCTGTGCCCGTGCAGACCTGAGCTTTTTCCTGTTGGGTCCCATCTTTTCTGCCACCTGGCTTCGGTTCAGTGTTTGCAAGTGCACTCTTTGGAATAACGTTTTTTAAGGGATGCAGAAAAGCGCTCATGTGACTGAATTTGGGCAACACTAAGTGAAATGCAGACTCGCTTCTGCTTCCCTCTCCGTCCCTCCCTTGCCCCTTGAGGGCTCTAAGCCGCGGCATGCTGCGTGAACGTCCAAGGTAGACAAGAGGATGTAGTGTTTCCCACCTCCTCTGATGCTGCGACCCATGGCCTCTCACTAGAGCAGCATTTCAGCAACTCTCTTGAGAAACCTGCTTTGCGCTTACTCCAGCTGGCTGCGGTGCGGGTCTGGAATGAGAGCTGGGCCTAGCTGGTTCTGAGGGTTCCTGAGCCCTAACACGCAGCACACCTGTGTTCCCTTTATCCCAGGCTGGCCCTGCACAATTCCCGTTTCCTGAGTCTGTGCTCGGAGCTGGACGCGCGAGTGCGGCCCCTGGTGTACACTGTCCGCTGCTGGGCTCAGGGTCGCGGGCTGGCAGGTGAGAGGCTGCGGGGCAGGTCAGGGCGCAGGTGGGCAAGGTGGGCGAGGTGGGGGAATCAAGGCCTAGAGGCATCTTTTGTCTAACTGGAATTTTTGATTATTTACCCAGGAAGTGGCCCCCTTCTCAATAACTACGCCTTGACCTTGCTCGTGATCTACTTCCTTCAGACCAGAGACCCTCCTGTGTTGCCCACTGTGTCCCAGCTCACCCAGAAAGCAGGTATTAGGGTGCACCACCACCCTTCCTACTCCGTCAGCTTCATCTGTCCTCTTCGTCCTAAGCAGACATACTTAGCCACGTCGCGGCGCATCCTGCTTCCACATTGATCCTCCCCTCTTGCCTCCACAGGGGAGGGTGAGCAGGTGGACGTGGATGGCTGGGACTGCAGCTTCCCCAGGGATGCCTCGAGACTGGAGCCCAGTACCAACGTGGAACCCCTCAGTGAGTTTGGAGAGCTTGCTGGTGTCACATGGGCCCTGTGCCTGGCATGGTTTTCACAGCAGCCCCCGGAGGGCTAATACTGTTACTGCCACCTTGAGCAATGAAGAAACCCTGCCTTGCAGCAACTGAATGACTTGCCCAAGGTTACACTGTTGGCAAGGACAAGAAGCAGCGTTTTGGGGAGGAGGTGCTGGAGGTGGGGAGGCTGGGCTCATCCATGGGCTGAGAAGTCCTGCTGAGTCAGGACCCATCCATCCTCCCTCTCAGTGACCCTTTCCCCGCTGTGCCTCCTCCTCCAGGCTCCCTGCTGGCCCAGTTCTTCTCCTGTGTCTCTTCCTGGGATCTTCGCGGCTCACTGCTCTCCCTGAGGGAGGGTCAGGCCCTGCCTGTGGCGGGGGGCTTGCCTTCGGACCTCTGGGAGGGGCTGCGTCTGGGCCCCATGAATCTCCAGGACCCCTTTGACCTCAGTCACAACGTCGCTGCCAACGTGACGAGCCGGGTGGCTGGGCGGCTGCAGCACTGCTGCCGAGCGGCCGCCAGTTACTGCCGGAGTCTCCAGTACCAGCAGCGCTCCTCCCGGGGGCGGGACTGGGGCCTGCTCCCCCTTCTGCAGCCCAGCTCCCCCAGCTCCCTGCTGTCTGCCACACCCATCCCCTTGCCCCCCGCCCCCTTTCCCCAGCTCACTGCTGTCCTAGTGCGGGTGTTAAAGGAAGCACTGGGGTGTCACATTGAACAGGGAACCAAGAGACCACGGTCAGAAGGGGGTGGGACGGAGGAGTTTGCCCCGGAAGGGACCAGCAAAAGGGTGAAGCTCGATGGACTGAAGAGCCGCGAGGAGGAGAAAGAGGAACCGCAAGGCTGTGCCGGGGTCCACGGTGAAGATGGAGTGGAGGAGATGGTGGTAGAGGCCGGAGAGGCGGTGCAGGACTGGGTCATGCGGAGCCCGGGGCGGCTGGGGGATCCGCCCCCGGTGGCTGGAGGAGAAGGGCGGCCAGTGCCTGCAGAGCAGGGGCCCAGGGGACCTGAGCGTGAGACGGGGACGGGGCCATCACTGCTCTCCGCGAGCTGGCCCTGCGCCCTGTGGCACCGAGTGTGGCAGGGGCGGCGGCGTGCCCGCAGACGCCTGCAGCAGCAGGCGAAGGAAGCGGGGGAAGGTGCTGGCGCGGGAGCTGGGTGGCTGGCCATGGAGGCGCGGGTCAGCCAGGAGCTGAGAGGACCGGGGAGTGAGCAGAGGCCAGCCTCGGCGCCCCTCCTCACCTTCCTGGTGTCCGCCTCGGCAGCCGAGCAGACCCTCACCGTGGCCCCTCTCCAGGATCCGCAGGGCCTCTTCCCTGATCTCTATCATTTCCTCCAGGTGTTCCTCCCCCAAGCACTGCGAATTCTCCTCAAGTGAAGGCAGGCCGCAGGCAATAAAGCTGCTAGTTTAATACAGACTGGCCTGGTGTCTCTGATTTCCACCCCGACGTAAATAGAGCCTCGGATCTGCCTGGTCCGACCCCCCTGGGCACCCCAGGCCTCCCACACACTGCAGGGCACCTCAACCAGGTTGGCCTCCAGTGAGGCTGCTGACCCACGCTGATACAGGGCCTCGGCACTGCCCAAAGGAGAGTCCGTCCAGTTCTTTAATTGGGCTGACTCTGACCGAACCATGGGAAAAGCCCTGTGGGAAGGAGGCTTCTGAGGGGCTGGGAGGGCCACGGCCGGGTCTCCCTGCGCCCCTGGACGGGCGCAGAGCAGGGTCGCGTGCACTGCGAGCCGACCTCACTGGTAGAGGGCTGCGGAGCCAGGCCCCGCTACACGCTCCATCCTCTGCAGACGGCCAAGGGAGCGGGGCTGGCTGAGCGGGCGGCAGGTCCGGCCCGCCGCCGCCGGGTGGGCGAGGGGAGGACGGCAAGTGGCGGCCCTGGGACCCCGGAGCCCTGCCACCCCGGAGCCCTGTCACCCGGCAGCCCCGGGACCCCGGAGCTGTCACCCTGCAGCCCCAGGACCTCGGCAGCCCTGCCACCCCGGAGCCGTGGAATCCCGGCAGCCCTCCCACCCCGGAGCCGTGCCACCCCGGCAGCTCTGCCACCCCGGAGCTGTGGAACCCCGGCAGCCCTGCCACGTCGCCGCCCCCGCCCGTCACAGTCTCCCCGCCCACCGCGCTTTCCGCGCGCCCTCCGGGACTCCGGTTGGCCGGCTCCCGCAGAAGGGCGGGCCCGCCCGCTCAGGGCCCCAGTGCGCAGGCGCGAGCGGCGGCTCCGGCCCCACCCCCTCTCCCCAAGCCTGCGTGGCTGGCGAGCCGAGCTGTCGTGCGTAGGCCCTCTATGCCGTCCTCGCTTTCCGGCTGCTGTTTCGGCACGGCGCTCCTCTTCCCCCCTCCCTTTTCTCCCTGGCGGCTTACTTTGCGGCAGCGCTGAGAGCCCAACCCCCTTTCTCTGCGGAATCACCATGGCGGCTGGGGTAAGTTTGCCGGGTCTGGTGAGCCGGGTCCCCTTATCTACAGCCATCCTCTGCCTGATTGGGGCCAGAAGGCGCCGGAGTGGTTCTGGCACCGATGGCGAGAACTGATCGGGGGCTTACAGCCCGTATTGTAGGAGAGCAGGGGTCCTGGGGCCTGGAAGGGAACTGATGTGTAGGGGTTCTCAGCTGGCAGAGGTGGAGGAATCTGGGCTGGAGGATGAAATGCTGCATCTAGAGCGTCTGGAGCCCGAGAAGCGGATTCAGCTTCATTTGCTTCTTTGAGATGCGGAATCCTGGCAGGTTGGCGTAACTTGCCGCCGTTTTGTGGGGCCACAGCGGGGTCGGAGTAAAGAGGAGGGTCTTTGTGGGAAGGCTCATGCGGCATGGTTAAGGTTTGCCTCTCGGGGAGAGAGGAATCTCCGGACAGTGAGGCCAGACCAGACCGGGGGGAACGGGTCTGACTGGCCTGGTAATGGTCAAGGCAAAAGCTGGGAACTCGGCTGCCGGACGGGACGGGAGGGATGGCGTGCTCGAAGAAAGGGAAGAAAGGCTTTTTCGGGAGAGCGGTCGTTTTAGGAAAAGGGCTTGCTATTGGCTGTTTCCGTGGCCCTTGTGGGGAACTGGAGCGTCCGGATGCGAGTGCCTTGCAGCCGGGGGTGGTGGTTGCGAAGCGCTGACGAGCTCAGCCACCGAGTGGGCAGGCACCGTCACTGAATGGAGCACGGGCTCGGGACGGGAGGGCTGCGTGTTCCTGGGCACGTGGAGCCTGTAGCGCCCGAGAGAGAGAGAGAGAAAGAGAGAGAGAGAGAGATGCGCTTGAGAGAACTGTCCTTAAGGAAGGTCAGGTTTGTCGCCAGGCTTTATTTAGCAGCTGATGGCGTGTTTCTGTTCTTGGTGGTTTGGAAGCCTCTGGTGACATGTGACAGCGCTGAGGGACCTGGCTTCCCTGGGGGCGCCAGGAGGGGTTGACGCGATGGCGATGACTCGGGCACTGAGGCCTGGGACCTTTCCTGCATTGAAGCTTCCATTCCTCCTTTTCTTGCATAGACCCTGTACACATACCCTGAACACTGGAGGGCCTTTAAGGCCCTCATCGCTGCTCAGTACAGCGGGGCCCAGGTCCGCGTGCTCTCCGCACCACCCCACTTCCACTTTGGCCAGACCAACCGAACCCCTGAATTTCTCCGCAAATTCCCTGCTGGCAAGGTGAGTAAGCAAGTGGAGTCTTGGAACCCTGAGGGGCGCCTGCCTGCTGGGATGGACCCCGTCTTGAGAAGGGAGCGTCTCACGTTATTTCCTTTCAATTTCAGTGATTAATTACACTTTCTTAATGATTGTGGTCATGAACACAGCAGCTGTTCGGCAACTTTATGAAGCTGACAGGCTCGCTTTGTGTTTGGGAGGAAGAGCTTTGATCAAGTGCTGTCAGTGTGAATGTATTACTTGCACATCATGAGTGAGACTCTTGATCGCAGAGGCCTGAGATGGGGAATTGGCTGGAAGAAGCCGGTCCTGCACGCCACGCGCCTAGCACGGCTTCTCTACCTGTGTTAACCAGATGTTTGGGATTTCCTTGTTGTAAAGTTCTTCTGTGTATTATGAATTTGGGCAATAATGGTGAACTTTGTATTTGTCCCAAGCAGTTGTGCTCCTGGGACTAGCTGTCTTCATTTCTCACTGTTGCCCAGGTTCCAGCATTTGAAGGTGACGATGGATTCTGTGTGTTCGAGAGCAATGCCATCGCCTACTATGGTATTGTCACAGGACATGGGAGCGGGAGACTGGAGGGGAGAGTGTGGGAGCGGGCGAGGAGGGGTTCCTGGGAGCCCAGGCGGGTGTTGGTGTGCCTGCACAGCTGTGGTCTTTGTGCTGCCCCGGCAGTGAGCAACGAGGAGCTGCGGGGCCGCACGCCCGAGGCCGCCGCCCAGGTGGTGCAGTGGGTCAGCTTTGCTGACAGCGACATCGTCCCCCCCGCCAGCACCTGGGTGTTCCCCACTTTGGGCATCATGCATCACAACAAACAGGTGAGCCTGGGAGCGTGGGGCAAAGCAGGAGCGTGCTGGGGCTTCCAGGTGTTGGGGTTGAGGGCAGGAGGTGCCCGAGCTGTGGGCAGTGAGGAAGGAAGCACTTTGCGGACAGTGGGGAGTGGGGTCTGGGCTCTGGGTCAGACCCACAGGAGACATTCCCACTGTGTGCAGCTTATAAAAAGGTGGAGTTCTCATCCGCACAGCAAAACAGATGGTCATGATCACTATGGTGGGGAAAGAAGGTGGGCCAGCCATGGAGAAGTTCAGCCAGCCAGAGCTTTGTGATTCATTTGGAATCATCTCAGAATCTTAAGCCGTTGGAAGTTGGCTGGGGTGAAACGGCTTTAGTGGTGCTGTGCAGGGGTGAGTGAGGGATTGTTGCCCTCTGATGAGCTTGATGATTTTCAATCACTAGGCCACTGAGAATGCAAAGGAGGAGGTGAGGCGAGTCCTGGGGCTGCTGGATGCGCACCTGAAGACGAGGACCTTCCTGGTGGGAGAACGAGTGACGCTGGCCGACATCACAGTTGTCTGCACCCTGTTGTGGCTCTATAAACAGGTGAACTGTGTACAGATCTGGGTGGGGTCAGAGGGTGTTGGAAATATGAATCTTCAGCTTACCTTGTGTTCTGAGGGCTTGGAGCAGGGAGCCAAGTTGGCAGGTGGTCTGGAGGAACCCTGGTTAGAATGCCAGGATAAATGCCCCGGCCTTTTTAAAGTTTACTTATTTTTATTGGGAAGTCAGATGTACAGAGAGGAGAGACAGGAAGATCTTCTGTCTACTGATTCATTCCCTAAGCGGCCACAACAGCGGGAGCTGAGCTGATCAGGAGCGGGGTCACCGGGATTAGAACCAGTGCCCATATGGGATCCTGGTGTGTGCAAGGCGAGGACCTTAGTTGTTAGGCTACCGTGCTGGTCCCCCCTTTTAAAAAAAAAAAAGGGCCCGGCGCGGTGGCGCAAGTGGTTAAAGGTCCTCGCCTGGCACGCCCGGGATCCCATATGGGCGCCGGTTCTAATCCCGGCAGCCCCGCTTCCCGTCCAGCTCCCTGCCTGTGGCCTGGGAAGGCAGTCGAGGACGGCCCAAAAGCTTTGGGAACCTGCACCCGCGTGGGAGACCCAGAAGAGGCTCCTGGCTTCGGATCGGCATAGTATCGGCCCGTTGCGCTCACTTGGGGAGTGAATCATCGGACGGAAGATCTTCCTCTCTGTCTCTCCTCTCTGTATATCCGCCTTTCCAATGAAAAAATAATAATAAAAAAAAAAAAAAACCAACTTTTTTTTTATCTGGAAGGCAAAGTTACAGAGTGAGAGATCTGCCAACTACTGGCTCACACCCAAATGGCTGCCATGGCTGAAACTGCCCAGGTCCGATATTAAGAGCTAGCAGCTGCTTTGGGGTCTGCCACAATGGTACAGAGGCCCAAGCAGTTGGGCCATCCCCTGCTGCTTTCCCAGTCCATTAGCAGGCAGCTGGATGTGAAGTGGAGCTGCCAGGACACTTAACTATTGTCCATATGGGATGCTGACATTGTTGGCTGAGGCTTGACTTGCCAAGCCGTGGCAGTTGTATTTATTTTCATTTGAAGGTCAGAAAGACAGAGGTGTCTTAACTGCAGTTGGATTTATCTGGGCCTGGCTGAAGCCAGGAGCCTGAGCTGCCTGGGTCTTCTGGGTGGGCGTCAGGGGCTCATTCACTTAGCCTGTCATCTGGAGGCTTCCAGGGGTGCATCAGCGGGAGGAGATGTGGGGCTTGATCGGGTGTTCTGATAGAATGGGATATCGGCATCCCAAAGGCGGCGTTAGAAACTTCCATCCCCACTGGTTCACACCACAAGTGGCCGCAGCAATGAACCTGGATTAGGCCAGGCTTTAATCTGGGTTGCCCATATGGGTTGCAGGATCTGAGACCTAAGCACTTGGGCAGTCCTCAGCTGCTTTCCCAGGCTTCACGCAGGGA